TTCTCCGCGTTCTTCTCGCGCATCCTCTTTGGCTTATGCCATGCGATATCGATCCCGAGGTTTTTGAGTGAGGAGGCATAATTAAACGGCGGACATCAAACGGCGGCATTCAACGGAATCTCATATTCCGTATAAAGTCGATCGATTCATCGATCGGTCGCGCTCTTACGACGCTCTCGACAGAAAAGGCGCGCGAGCGGGAACGCGAGGATGACGCTCCGAAAAACTCGAGCTACTCAGAGGCATTCGTGGACCCCCGAGACCAAACGATTAGGGTAGACGGTCGAGCTCGTCGGGGACGAGCAACAGTGTGGCGGCGCGGGGGCCCATCCGGCACGACGAATCGATTCGCGTTAATATCGATACCAGCGGCGCGAACAAAAGCGCCTCCTTTACCTAAGAATCGACCACGCGCGTATTTACACGTCCATTCGTTCTGCACTCGTACTCGCATCTTTTTTACGTCATCTTATTCTTTTGCTCGTCTTACTACGCGTTCCGATAGTCTCGACAAGAAATCGATCGCCCTCCCCCCCCCCCCTCCCCCTCTCCCCGCAGTCCTGCGATTTTTCGTCGATCAAGCAAACAAGTTTCCCCCCTTTTTTTTGACAGGCACGGACAGGCGCGAAATGCAACGATTAAAAATTACACTTTGTTAATATCGTCAATCGTCTCGATGTCCTATTTGTTATAACAAATTTGAAAATATATTGGCTACACTTTATATATATTCAAATATACTTGAAGAAATAACTTTAACATTAATAAATATTAAGGTATAAAGGTATATAAAAATATATATTTACCTATAAAAAGATAATTAGTAATATTAAATTTTATAACATCACGTATCCGTTTTAAAAACAAGTTATTAAAATAATATGTCGCTCTCTCTTAAAAACACATAAAAGATGTAGTATAAAAATTGTTTATATTTTTATCATTCTTTAAGATTTATTCTCTACTAAACTTACTTCTCTCTCGGCTCATTCTCGCAGCTTCTTATATGGACACAATATATTTTGTGAAAGTATGAGTATCGTAAAAGGTGTTCAATAGCTGGGTTAACTGGCACGAGAACTGATTTCCATATAGATACGACTCTCCTCTTCCTGTAAATTCCCTAATTCTCCTCAAGGCAAGTATTATGCGCCATAATCAACAGAATGCAAAGGATCTAACAGTGTGGACTGTAAGAGAGCAAAGAGAGATGAATGGATACATCGCGAACATGTTCGCGTACAGGTGAAAAAAAGGGCCACGCAAAGATCTATTGC